GATTATTATATCTGTTATGGTGATCTGTGATCAGTGATGTTTTATGTCACTTTGTAACTATTATAATCGTTTTGAACCGCTGCAAACCATGCCCATATAAAATGGTAAACTTAGTCAATATATATGGTGTGTGTTCTGACTGTTCCACTGACTGGCAGTTTTCCTATCCGTCTTTCTCTCTTTGGGCTTCCCTATTTCCTGAGACATGAAAATATTGAAATTTGGCTTATGAATAGTCATAATAGCCTCTAAGTGTTCAAGCGAAAGGAAGTGTTGCATGTCTCTCACTTGAAATCAAAAGCTACAAATGATTAAGCTTAGTGAGGAAGGCATGCTGAAAACCAGGATAAACTAAAAGCTAGGCCTCTTGTGCCAGTTAGCCAGGTCACCAATGCAAAGTAAATGCTCTTGAAGAAAATTAGAAGTTCTTCTCCAGTGAACACATGAGTGATAAGAAAGCAGGACATCCTCACTGCTGATATAGACAAAGTTTTAATGGTTAATGGTCTGGATGGAAGTTCAGACTAGCCCCAACGTTTCCTTAAACCAAAGCCTAATCCAGAGGGAGGCCCTAACTCTCTTTAATTCTGCAAAGGCTGACAGAGGTAAGGGAGCTGAGAAGAAGAGCTGGAAGAAGAGCCAGCAGAGGTTGTTGGTTCATGGGGTTTTAAGGAAAGAAGCCATCTTTGTAACATAAAAGTGCAAGGAGAAGCACCAAGTGCGGATATAGAGGCTGCAAGGAGTTTTCCAGAAGATCTAGCTAAGAAAATTAGTGAAAATGGCTTCACTTACCAATGTATTTTCAATGTACGCAATAGATTGGAAGAGGATGACAACCAGGATTGTCATGGCTACAGAGGAGAAGTCAATGCCTGGCTTCAAAGCTTCAAAGAAGAAGCTGAGTCTCTTGTGCGCTAATGCAGCTGGTGACTTTAGGTTGAAGCGAATGCTTAATTACCATTCTGAAAATTTTAGGACTGTTAAGAATTATATTAAATCTACTCTACCTGTACTCTATAAGTGGAACAACAAAACCTGGATGACAGCACATCTGTTTATAGCATGGTTTACTGAATATTTGAAGCCCACTGTTGAGTCCTACTACTCAGAAATAAAGATTCCTTTTAAAATATTACTGCTCATTGACAATGCACCTGGTCACCCAAGGGCTCTGATGGAAAAATCCAAGGAGATGAATGTTGTTTTCGTGTGTGCTAATACAACATCCATTCTGAAGCCCATGGTCCAAGGAAACATTTGACTTTCAAGCCTTATTATTTAAGAAATATATTTCATAAGGTTATGGCTGCCATGTGATTCCTCTGATGGATCTAGGCAAAGTAAGCTGAAAACCTTCTGGAAAGGATTTTAGAAACTCTTATGAAATGCTCTGGCTAGGCTCTGGGGACAGCATGGTGAAAAATGGAGCCAAAGACACGGCCATTCTGAAGCCAATAGTCTGGTAGGGAACATCATCATTAGATAAGTAATTATGTGACCGATTAATTCATCATAATTAGGTTAAATGCAATGAAGGGTCAAGGTAGGGTTTAGGAGACCAAACAGCAGAAGGGCCTGGTCTTTCTAGAGGAAGCTGCATTTCATCTGAGACCTGAGAGACAGCTGAGTTAGCTGGTAACTGGAGTGGGAGGAATAGATGCAGACAGAGGAAGCACCATGTTCCAAGGCCCTGAGCCCGCCAGTGTGGCAAAGGCTTTGGAGGAGGGCTTGAGAGGGTGTGAGGAGCTTGGCTAGACAGCTTCAACTACATGGATGTTCACCACAGAACTATTCACAAGAGTGACAAACTAAAAGGATGAAACAAAACCAGATTCCTAAATGTCTAAACATAAAGAATTAATTAAATAAGTTATGGTGTATCCATTCAAAAGAATAAAGAAAGCCTACACAACCTCCTGTATTACAGAAGACTATTTCATGATAAAGAAAGAAATGCAATATACTTTGTATTGTTTTGTGAACAAAAGTTACAAAACTGTACACACCATGTAACCCTGTTTTTATTTAAGAAGAATAGTATGTACAGGCACAGAAACATCTGGGAGCAGTTAAGCCAACATGTTAAGAGTGGTTACTTCTGGGTGGTGAGATGACACTTATGTCTTGCTTACCGACACTTTTACAATGACCTTACACGCACACTGCCTATGGTACTTTTGTAACAAGAATCTTTTTCTAAAAGGTGTATGATGTTGGCAGTTTGATGTAGGGTTGGAGCTCAGGGACCCTTGGGTTGGGCACATAGGTTTGGCTCTACCCATTTTGACCCTGAGACTCTATGTTTTTGTCTGTCTGCAAATGCATGGTTTTTTCTGTGAATGAAATAATCCCTAGAAAGTCTGTGCTTAGCGCAGAGTCCGGCTCATCTGTAAGAGCACCATGATGTTAACTGGTAATATTGAAAATAAATATAACTGGTGTTTACAGATGTTTACCCTAGAAGTGATTCTTCTGGCTACTCGGTTTTGTATTTAGGACCGTATCAGAAGAAGAGGGCCACACTCTGCAATTGTGGTTACTCACATTGAGTCTGCATGGACAGCAAGGAGGGGTGAGGAAGAGTGCCCAGAAGCAGGCAGGGGCAGAGCAGAAGGGTTCCTAGGGCAAACGAGACAGAGAGATTCCCTCTACAGCCCATACCTTATTCCCCTCCCTCCCCTTTCTCACCTTCCCACCCTTTTTTCTCACCTTCCTCCCACCATCTCCTTGCTATTTTTGACTCCAAACTATAAATTCCTTTGAGGCCAGAAGTTATGCATTAGTCAGCTGCCCGTCAGTTTCCTCACATGAAGCATCTGTACTGGGCCTGGTGTACAGCTGCCCTCTTGACTGTTATAAGCAGGGGGACCTGTTGGAGACTCCCCCATTGGGTGGGACAGTAGAGAAGGGTAGTAGTGGTGGGAATGGAAGGGAAATGCAGACATAAGAGGTAAGAGAAAATGAAAAGGTCTTGGTGAAGGATGAAGAGAGCACAAACTTTGCATTAAACTCACAATCCAGCTCTGGTTTTTTAAAGCTACTTTTAGCTTTATTCTCAGGCAAATTCTTTAACTTCTCTAAGCCTCCGTTTCCTTATTTGCAAAGGTAGACAATATCATCTACCTTCTTGCTTGTTGTATTAATGGGTAAGGTGTGAAAATTCACAGTGTGGGGCCTGGCGTTCTGTTTAGATCCATTTTCTTTTCCTCCCTCTGGGCTTTGAGAGCGTGGTTGCCAGAGGAATGGTGGAGCCATTCAGAGATGTAGGGAAGTAGCAAGCCAGTGTATTTCATGGGCAAAGAAGACTTTCACTTGGGGCAAGTTGACTTTGAGGTGCCGTTAAATCCATCTGGCAACTTAAATGAGGGATAGGCACTAGTTTCTAACCCACCTCCATAACTTATACCCATTGTTATGGGAGGATTAGGAAGAGATGATACTTTGGAAGGCGTGATGGTTAATACTGAGTGTCAACTTGATTGGATTGAAGGATGCAAAGTATTGATCCTGGGCATGTCTGTGAGGGTGTTGCCAAAGGAGATTAACATTTGAGTCAGTGGCTGGGAAAGGCAGATCCACTGTTAATCAGGGTGGGCACAGTCTAATCAGCTGCCGGCACAGCTAGAATATAAGCAGGCAGAAAAATGTGAAAAGGGAGACTGGCCTAGCCTCCCAGCCTGCATCTTTCTCCCATGCTGGATGCTTCTTGCCCTCGAACATTGGACTCAGTTTTGGAACTCAGACTGGCTCTCCTTGCTCCTCAGCCTGCAGGCAGGCTATTGTGAGACCTTCTAAGTTAACACTTAATAAACTCCTCTTTATATATAAATTTCCTTCTTCTTCTCTCCTTCTGTATTAGTCAGGGTTCTCTAGAGGGACAGAACCAATAGGTTATTTCCTATTAATTATAACTAATATAATTAATATATCCTATTAGAACCAATAGAAACTAATAGGATAAATCCTATTAGTTATAACTAATATATCCAATTAGTTCTATCCCTCTAGAGAACCCTGACTAATACTGAAGGAGAGAAGAAGAAGGAAAAGAAGAAAAATCTCTGAGTTCAAGGTTTGGAGAAGCCATTTCTAAGTTGGATATGGGATGATTAATGGGTATTGTTGGGTGGTCAAATTCACTAGAGTTAAGGAGGCCAAGAAACTAAACTTACACTGATTTTTGTCACAAAGAAAAAAATTCTAGAGACCCTGTGCATTATTCATCTTCCAGAGCCAATAAAAACTCTGCTCTCTCCCAGTTTCTCTGCTTTCATGCCTCTGAACATACCTGGCACATCCTTCTTTCTGCATGTTACCATCATCCTCCAGAAAACTCCATCAGGACCATCCTTCAGAGTCCAGGCCAGCTCTCACCACTGTGAATACTTTCTATCCTCTCCAGCCTATAATGATCTAATGCTCCTGCCTCCAAACTCTACAAACTCTATTTCTTGACTACCACTTTTTTGCTTTTTTTTTTTTTTCCTTAAGCATTTCTTCTTCATGTCTAGGATGGGGAGTGGATTTCATCACACTGGTCAACTCTCTGTGTCTGCCCTGCTTTGAAGACATTTTCCAGACTCCCTGGGGAAAAGCCATGAGCAATACACGTGCCATCAAGGGCAGCGGCATGGGGAGGGTGGCACTTGGGCTGTTTGCTGAGCATAATATATAGCAGGTTTGGTTTGAGTTCTTTCAAAGAAGATGCTGAGACAAAGACTTGGGTGCATGCAGTTTATTTGGGAAGGGGTTTCTAGAACCAAAATGACAAGTAGGGATGGGGAGACAGGGAAGGGAGAAAAGTCAATAAAGTGTATGAAAATGTGGGTTACCATTGGAGCACGGTCCCTTGGAAGGTGCTGGGGAGCTGTGTGCAGTGCACCTCAGGGTCCTCTGCTAAAGCACCAGCGGGTTGGTTATTCGCCCTCCCACCGTCCTTCCCCAGGGGCTGGGGTGGCCCCTGCAGTGCCTGAGACAGCCTCGGACAGGGAACAGGAGTGGTGCAGACACCTGAGTGGGAAGTTGCCAGTGTGCTGTAGAGGCTCCCTCGCAAGTAAACTCAGGTGGATACAGGGCAGGGCATCCACAATCCGCCACCATGGCCTATCACGCTGTCTTTTTCACCTCTTTTCTCATTTCTGTTAGCTGCTTGAAGGCATGCCCCAAGGAAAGCTTGTGGCACAGTGTCTTACACCTAACGGATGTTCGGTCAATGAATCGATGATTGTCGATCTGCTTATGAAGACAGAGAAAAGGGAGAAAAATTAGATTGAATAACTGGAGTTCCTGGTTTAAAGGCCAGGATTGGGCTGGCTGAGCTGGCTGCTGTGAAACCGGCTATTTGGCCAAAGCAGTACACTTCTAATCTAGATTATCTTCATCACACAGATATTACCTAGAAGTTCAGAGAAAGAGACAGCATATTCTCAGGGGAAAAAACATCTGCATTCTGAGAAAAAGTGGGAGAGGATTTAATGAAGGCACTTAAATGTGGGACTGCAGCCTCCAGTGAATGAGCGCCATGAATTCCCCTGGGGGTCCTTTGAAAGGCCCTCTTTAAGTCAGGGCACTTCCTTAAGAAATTCTTCCTTAGGAAGGAGAATTTGGCCAAGAATTTTTATGTCCATCCCAGAAAGAGTGAACCAAGGTCCCCTGGCATGTGGCCCAATGCCTGGCTCATACTTTAAGCTTTGTTAGTGTTTGATGGCTGTAACCTTGGAACATCCCAACTCTAAATTGGAGGTATTTTGTCTCCTTTTCCTGGGCTCTTAGGCACTGCCTTTTCACTTAACGGGCACTAAGAAAGTGCCTCTCAAAGCTACTTACGATTATAATCTGGGTTCAAATTCCTAACTTAGTAATCTTGGGCCAGTTAAAAGTCTTGGTTTGGGCTCCTCCAGAAAAGTTCAAATCCAAGGAGGTTATTTGGGAAGGACAGGAAACACTAGTGTGGTGGTAGGAAGAAGATAGGAACATGAAGGCAGGCCATGGTGTTACACTGTCAAGCAAGCCACCACTGTGGGCCACTGGAACTTACCCCGCTGGGGACTGTGGAGGCCAACACAGAGTACATCCCTCAGAATCAAATCCCATCCTGCCACCACAGGCAAGGGAGCCAGGACTTTGGTATACCAACTCCTGACAATTACCAACTTCTGTGTTAATAGCTGCTCTTAGAGGAAATCTATGTCCCAATACATCTGGCCCATTGCATGTAAGAACACACCAGGCTCTAGAGGCCAGTGGAAGCTCTCGGGCCAACATCCTGCATTTGGAAGATGAGCTGGTAGGTACTGAAATGATGAGGGCCAAAAAGGTGTGGGTGGGGCACACACAGCATCTGCCATCTATAAAAGGATGTCTAGTACCTTACTCCATTAAATGAGTTCGCAGTTGTAACACACTTGGAACACTCTATGGTCTATAAATGCGGTAAGCATGTGTGGCAGATTGTGTTTTTCTTACGGTGACACAGTAATTTTCTGGTCCCATGTGCTCTGCTAGAAACTTGCTACTCCCTATTTTGGGTGGAGTCTGTTTTCTCTCCCCTGGGACCTAGAGGGACTTTGTGACTTCCCTGATGCACAGTTTATTGCAAAAGTGAAGCTGCTGGTTTCTAAGGCTAGGTCATGGAAGGTGATAAGGACCCGCCTGCTGTGTGTGTGTTTGTGTGTGTGTGTGTGTGTGTGTGTAAAGAGAGATAGAGATAGATACCACACACACACACACACACACACACACACCCTTGGGATCCCTGTCCTGAAGCCACCATGTTGCAGAGATCACATGAAGAGACAACATAGGAATAGAGAAATCCAAGAAGCCTCAGCTGTTCAAGTCCCCAGTGAAGCGCCACCTTGGGTATAAATGTGTATACATTTAGTGATGACACCTTTGATATGACCCTAGCTACAGCCACCTAATTACTGTAACCACCAGAGAGAACCTGAGCTGCATCTGCCCAATTACTCTCAACCTGAATTCCTGATCCACAGAAACCATGAGAGGTAATAAATAATGATTGTTATTTTAAGATGCTACATTTTGAGATAACTTCTTATGTAGCCATAGTAACTGGAACAGTGCTTGATAAATAAAATAAATATAATCTCATCTCCTCAACTTATAGGCCCTCCTCAGATATGAAATGAAATCTTCATATTCTACATTCCACATTTAAGCAGGTGGGTCTAGCTCAAGCTAACGTTCTAATAATCAGATCTGCACATGATTGAACTTTGCAATATGCAGAGGGTTTTGTTCTGGACAGGACATTGTGGTGCTTCCTCGATGTCCATTTTGATCATCTTCCACTCAGGGGTTCCCTGGATATCTGGTCACTCACTCCTACCTCCAGCAGGAGGCCCTGAATGGTCCAAGCCATTAGGGAAATTCAGGCATCTTGCCATAGCGATTGGACCACACAAGTGAAGCATAGCCAATTAGCCCTTGGCTTTCCCCTAGGATTGGTTAGGAATGGAATAATCAGTACCACACCCGGGACTGTTGCTGAAGAATCTGGGGCACAGAAGCATTCTTCCTCCAGGAAGTGTTGGATTCAGACATGCATGCTGGAACCATTGCAATGATTTTGCTACCATGACGGAAACCAGCCTGAGGATGAAATCAACACACAAAAGACACAACACGAAGAGAGTAACAGAGATATGAATCTAGAGCCTTGATAGAGTCATGCTTAAAGCCCAGACTACCATGCTTAAGGTCTTGACTCCCATTCCATTTGATGTCTTCTATCACCCCTGAATGGAAGACGATCAAATGGAATACGAGCCAAGATGTTGCTTTCGTTGTTTAACCATCTTAATATGGATATACTATTACTTGGAACCAAATGCATCATAATTAATTCTGGTACCAATGTACTGGATATTGTCATGAGAACTAATCCACTCCTCTTCTGCAGACTTAGAAAAGAAAATCAATGTGTAACCTATATAAACCTTTTCTAGCATTTTTTTTGGAATTTTTATATGAAACCTCGAGTTTTCCCAGGAAAATAACTACCATTTTCCTGGCTATATCTTGGATGTAAATGTGCATACATTTAGTGGGTATATTTCCTAGGGGCTGCTGTTAACAAAGCACCACAAATTGGTGACTCAGAACAACAAAAGTTTATTTTCTCACTGTTTTGGAGACCAGAAGTCCGGTGTCCCCAGGACCATGCTCCCTATGAAAGTTCCAGGGAAGGATGTGTTCCAGGGCTCCCTGAGCTCCCGGTAGCCTCAGGCATTCCTTGGCTGGTTGATGAGTGTTCTCCGTGTCTCTATGCATGTCTTCCCTCTATGCCTCCAGCTCTGTGTCCAAATTTCCTCCTTTCACAGTACACGATTCATATTGGATTAGGGCCTATTCTAACACCCTCAGTTTAACTTGATTACTTTTGTAACATCCCTATTTCCAAAGATGGCCACACTCTGAGGATTAGAATTTCAGTAATAACTTTTGCTGGAGGAGAGGGGATGCAATTCAGCCCATGACAGTGGTGTAGAGAAAGTGGGCAAGGAGGGTGTACATAGGAGGACAAGACATCAAATATAGGAAAGTTAAAAAAAAATACTAAATTACTAAAAAATACTGAAAAAATACTAACCGCACAATTTTGGAGTTTTCCAAGTGTGTAAGAAGGCTGATATTCCTGCTTTGATTGTAGAGACTGGGGTTCCTGACTGAAGACACTTTCTCTGCAGAGATACGGGGATAGAGACAAACACAGAGCCTGTGTTGCCTCTCTTTTTCTAGCCTAGATGTTGTCCTTGCAACAATCTCTGTTTTGTTGGGTGTTTTTTGTTTGAGGGAATACACACAAAGCTTTGACTTATATTATTCTCATTGCATCCAGCTGAATGAAATTTATGAAGCCTCTGGCACAATGTATTCATTGTTTGGGTTGGGATAATTGAAGTGTCAGGAATATTTGCTTATTGAAAACAACTCAGGATGGCCCTGTGCACCCAACTGGTCCAGGGCCACAAGACACGCCACGTTCTGGGCAGCTGTGTCCTATTGTCTTTTACAGCAGGGGCACCTTCCCAGGTAAATCAACTTCACACCTGGGGAAGAGCAGCGGGTTAAGAATCAGAAGACATTATTTCTGATGTGAACTTCACAATTCACTTACTGTGTGACTTTGAATAAATCATTTAATGTCTCTGGACTTCAGAGTTCAGTGGACATAAATAACATGGTCTTTTCTACCTCTTAGGGATACTGTGTAGCTCAAAAAGGAGAATCTATACGAAATACTTTAGAAATCATAAAATGTCATCCAAATGTGTGTCATGAACAATAAAAATTAATCATGTCTACTTCCGCTCAGAGTAGAACTTTGAACTAAGGAAGAAAATGGACCAATGTTCTCATTATTCTCCATTTTCTCCCCAAGATCCATCCTCCACACTTTTCTGCCCTGCTCTGTGCCTCGGGAGACTGAGCACTGAGGATTGCATTGGCTAGACTTCCTTGTCTTGTGGCTTCTGGGTGGTTTGGCTAATGAGAAGTGCTTATAGGAAATGGGAAGGTAGGAGGAGAGAAACCTTGTGGTATTTATTCGTCTTGCTCTTCTGGGCAGTTGCTATGTTCTCCTATAACCACTGCTCTGACTGGGCAGCTGATTCTACCCCTTTGGCCCTCTCTGGGCTTCAAGTAACTCCATTCCTTCTGCTCCTTCTCAGGATGAGGAGGATGACAGTATATGAATGTGGCTGGTCCTCAGTGCCTGACTCTGCAAATGGACTCTGCATCGTTGCTCTTCAACACTTTGAATGCGCCGTCTGGTTCTTGAAGGACCCTGGCGCATGCAGCACCATGACCATGATGTGGGCGATAGCTCAACTCTTCCTGAGGGACTAGCTCTCTCTCTTTGGGGATGGTCTGAGTTTTCTCTTTTCTTTAGCCATTGAGCAGGTCTGCAATGTGATTTTTCTCTTGTAGAAATGAGCACCAGTGGATCATGAAGAACTGTAAGGACTGGACATCTTCACTGTCTTCCATCAGCAATTGGGATGCTTTCTTTAGGTTTCATGGGGAGACAGGCCTCTGTTTTTTCTCTGGTACCTCCTGTCCCTCCCTATATTCAGGCATTTTCCAAGTTCACTCTGCCCTTCTCTGGAGGTTACCCCTGATCTTTCCTCTGCCCTCATCTCTTGCCTGTGCTTTCAGGGGTCCTCAGTGACTCTCCATGTGAAACTCAGCCTCTTTTCTCTTTCCCACACCCCAGCCCCGGCTTCCCTATTTCTGTTCATGCTGCCCAGGCCTGGAATTCCAGCTTATCTTTCACACCTTTAGTCGCTCCTTATGTGCAAGCAGGCACCATGAGCATTGCTGCCTCCCTTCCCAAGAGTCCCTGCAGTCCTCCCTGCACTCTTGGTGTCTCGTTACAGGACCTCTCTGGTTCTGAGTTTCTGTGACAGGATGTCCAATCAGCTTTCCTGCCTACAGTCTCTCTTCAATCCTGTTCAGACAATAGACTTCTGCCACCTTCATTTTCCTAAAACTCGGCTTCCATTTTGCATCTCCTCTCTATGAAAACCTTCAATAACTCTGCCATCCATCATACAAAATCTGAACTCCTGACCCTGGCATTCAAAGCCCTGCATAGTCTGCTTCTTGACCTACTTACTACCTGCCAAGCCCACTCCGCTCTCCTCACTCCCGTGACTACATCAGGGGCTTCCCAGCCTCCACTGCCCCAGAAATGCTGTCCTCCTCTCTTCTGGTGTGAACCTTGCCTATTCTACCAAGCTGAACCTCAATGCCACTTGCTCTCTGAAATCTTCCTTGACCACTACAAGTGACAGTGAGGCTTCTTTTCTTTTAACCCCTCTTCCTTTTCTTTCAAGTTCCAGGACATATTTGCTGAACTGAACTTCAGCTCCTAAGAATGTCATTTACATTAGCCATTTGAGGCTTTTAGCTCCCTGACTTGTATTGCTATGCTGTTAGAACACAGTTTGGACACGTGTTTTGCATCGTAATTCGGCCCTTACTATTTATTGAATGAATACATAAAAATGGGAAACATATCAGTTTATCCAAACTGCTGATCGTTAAGAGATTGGACACACATATGTATTTTGCAAGCTCGTAGGTCCCTGGCACTAAAGCCATACATCTACTCAGGTAGACTTTGGGTCCAAAAAAGAACAGTGATGATGATGATAAAAATTAAAATATCTACAATCTATTGAATGTCTACTGTGTTCAGAGCTTCACATGCAAAATCTCTTTTAACCTTTATAACCAACTTATATTAGTATTTTACTATCTGTACTTTATGAAGCGGGAAATGGAAGCTCAGAGTGATTAAGCAAATATATCTAGTGCGGAGCATGGCTAAATTTGAACCTGACTCTGACAATGCTCATGTGTGTTCTATCAACCAGTCAGCGGACAGCTTTTGGGAGTATCCTGCAGGAGCCCCCAGGAGTGTGGAGTATTTAGTGTGTGATGCCATATGTGGCACCGTGTCTACCTTGTCTTCCTTCCACTGAGGGCGGGAATCCTATCCTGCTGCTCTCTGTACCTTCCCAGTGATGCCTACAACTTGGCTTTGCAGATAATCAGCACTCACTAATAGTTTATTAGTTGATTCTCAGCTCTCCCCCACTTCATACTTAAATTTCAAGTGTTTTGTTTTGTTTTTTTGAGACAGGGGTTTGCTCTGTCACCCAGGCTGGAGTACAGTGGTATGATTGTGGCTCACTAGAGCCTCGAACTCCCAGGCTCAAGTGATCTCCCCACCTGAGCCTTCTGAGTAGCTGGGACTACAAGCATGTGTCACCATGGCCAGCTCAAGTGTTTTTTTTGTTTTTGTTTTGGTCAAAGGACCAGCGTTGCACTATAGGTTTGAATAGGAATTCCCTTTCTACCCCACCAACATCATAAAATCTTTATGTAATCATGTGTCTCTAGAGGTCTCCCCTTAAAGGGGCTTGGTACTATGTCAACTTAGCTAAGTTGGAAATATTTCCCAGAACTCTCTTCACTGTATAATTGTAGACTAGGACTGGCTATACGAGAAATTTGTGTGAGGCTGGAAAGGCAGAAGGGAGGGAAGCAGTAGCCACTCTTTGCAGATTGGTGCAGGTGTCAGGCAGGCCCCATGGCTCATGCTGCCCCAATATCTCATCCTCTTGGCATGGAGCAATCCCTGGGCCTGCAGCATCTCTAGCTCCTACCCAATCTCCTCTCCTTCAGATTCTTGAGTTGCAAACTTACTGTGTGTGCAGTTTTATGGAAAAGGTGTTGGCTTCTGCAGATTCCCCACATTGTCAAAATTGGAGGCAATAAGAGGCATATGGGTGGTCCACTCTGTCCTCATTGTTCCGAGGCAGGAGAATAGAGTCTGGAGGCAAGGAACCGAAGGCCAATTCATGCTGACTTCCTAGAACTAAATCAAAAGGAAAACCCTAACTGTTACAAATGACCAAGTAATAAAAGTACGAGAGGCTACTCCCTTTGCACTGCCCCCTCCACCGCCTTTGTGTGTGGCAGATGAAAAATTGAAAGTACCTCTGATCAGTCCCCTCCTGCAACCAGTCAGACTTGTCATGGGCCAAGTCTTCATTTGCATAGGAGTATAACTTTGTAACTTCAGCCTCTGATTGGTCGCATTCCACAATAAATCAGACTGGCTGTGGGCCACTACTTCATTTACGTAGGGCGTACACCAAGTAATTAATGGGAATATTCTAATGGGTATTTAAAGCCCAGAAAAATCTGTAACCAGGCTCTTGAGCTGCTTGCTCAGGCTGGCTCCCACCTTGTGGAGCGTCCTTTCATTTTCAATCAATAACTGCTTTTGTTGCTTCATTCTTTCCTTGCTTTGTGCGTTTTGTCTATTTATTGTTGGTCAAGATGCCAAGAACCCGGATACCCGTTTTTCTCACGCTTCCAGGAAGTTGCTCTCCTCACGTTAGCCCCAGCCTTCTTTCCTGATTACCAGAGCTGCTACGGCAGCTTTAGGTCCCCACCAGGTGCAAAAGCAGCTTGCCGTCACCTCTTTCACCAGCTCCCACAGTTGTGCTCATTTTAATAACAAATTCCTTGTTCTGTATCACTCGGAGTGGCCCTGCTTCTCTGATTAAACCCTAGCTGAGTCATTCCTCTTCCCTGAGTCCCCAGGTTATGGTGTCTCTGATCACATGGCTACCTCAAAGAAATGTGTTTATGGTAATTGGGCAAAGTCATTATCAAAGCAGGAGGAAAACCTAGAAGTGGCAAGCCTCTCACCCTTATCCTTTCCCTCCCCACAAGGCTGTGCTATTTTCCAAGGCAGGAGCTAGATCCATCTGTCTTGTAGTGAAACCCAACTTAAGGCATTTCGGTATTATTCAATTTTCTACCTGCCCCAGCAAACCTGGGCTGAACTCAGTTCTGATGTCACTGCTTTTGGAGGTTGCATGGCCACCCTTGACCCTTAATGGTTGCTCTCGGCTCATCACTGGCCTCCAGGGCACCTGTGCATGGAGGTGTACTTGTAGTTAATCACAGGTGGCTAGAGTACAAGGTTGCCTAAGGGCTGCATCCCAGAGGCTCTGAAGACTGCTGTTCAAAGATGTTTGCCTTTGACCAGGTGTTTGAAGTCTAAAATGCCACCATTAATAGGCCATCCCTGTGGATTACTCTTCCTGGTGCCTGTTATTAAAAAGCCATACACCTTTG